CGTATCGCATACGATGGATAACACAACCTCTCTCCTTGCCTTTCGATGGGTGTTTTGGGTTTATATTTTGCATTTCTTTACTTTACAAAAGGAAAAAAAAAAAAGGGGGGGTGGGGGGAAGAGGAAAAAACCACAACCCACAGCTCTGTCTCTTACACCCCTCTCCTCCCCAGCTCCCTAAACCAACACATTAAGCAAACTTTAAAAACTGGGTTCCTATTACAAAGCAGCGCCCAGGACTAACTGCTTTAAAATTACTGCATAATTAGATTTAGTTGAATTTCACCATTAATTAGGCAGCCGCACTGCGGGGAGCCTTTGAAATCTGAGAAAATGGGAAAAATCATCTGAAGCACGTTTTTTAAACCCAACTTCAATAAATCCTGACAAGGCCTGCATTTCTCCGTGTATCTCTTTCCATTCTACAAAGCAAAGCGAAGCGAGCGCGATCCCCAGGACCCACTAAAGTTTTAATTAAAAAAAAAAAAAAAAAAAAAAAAAGAGAAATAAAAATAAAATCCATCTCCATTTCCACATCCCGCTCGCTATCAGCAGCGGCGGAGCGCCTGGAAACATCCCTCTTTCTCCTTCCTCTTTCCTCCTTTTCTCTCTTTTCCCCCTTTCATTTATTTATATTCCCCCCCCCCCCCCCCCTCCTTTTCAAGGCACCTTCCCGAGGATCCCGCTGTCTCTGCAGGCGCAGACCCTAAATATCACACCCCGGGGTAGGTCTGACTCCGCTTCCGTGGCCATTGAGCCGCGCTCGCACGGGGAAGATGCTGCCACAGGTCACTGCCGCGCAGCCGGGATACCCACGCGGGGGGAAGGGCCACCCCCCCACCCCCCCCCCCGAGTGCTGCTCACCGCGGGGACCCTGCGCGGAGAGGGGGAACGCGAGGTGTCCCCCCCCCCCACCCCCCCGGCGTGTGTGTGTGTGTGTGTGCGCGTCCCCACGCCCACGCTCCCCTCCGCGGGGCTCCGCGCGGCGCGGAGCGAACGAGCAGGGCCGGGGACGCCATGTTGGCTGTGCTCATCGGACCCCGCGGCGGACTTTCCCACGCGTCGCCCCCGCGGCCGCGCAGCGCTCCGCGGTTCTCCTCCTCCCCCCCCCCCCCCCCCCCCCCCCCATCTCCTTCTCCTTTCCTCCTCCACCCCCCCCCTTCAGCTCCAACCCCCCGCCTCCTCCTCCCCACTCCCCCACACACCCACCCGCCCGCCCCGTCCCTGGCCGCCGGCGGCGCGGCCCCACGGGCGAGCCCCGCGGGCTGCGGGCGCTGCCCGGCCCCGGCAGCCCCCCACGCGGGCTGGCACCGCCCGCCAAGCGCCTCCTCTCGCTCCAACCCTCCGCTTTTGTCTGAACTTGGGAGAGCCGCCTCCTCTCCGCGCCCCCTCCGCGCCCCGCGCACGCAGACCCCCCCCCCCCCCCCGCCGCCGCTCTCCCGGAGGGGTCGGGGAAGGTTTGGGAGAGCGGCGGCGGGGAGGGAAGAGGAGGAGGAGGAAGGCGAAAAGGGGGGGGGGGGGGGGGATGAAGAAGACCTTTCCCGAGATGTGGTTTGCACCGCGGGCGGCTCCGCAGCTTTCGCTGTCGTTCCGGGTCGCCTTTGGGTCTTTCCCCTCCGGTCCCCGCGGCGGTGGCAGGGGTGGGGGGGGAAGGAAGAAAGCGAAGTGAAGATCAGATTAAAGGGGGGGGAAACATAAATAAATAAGAGGGAGGGGTTGGGAAGGGGGAACCGCAAGGAAAAAAAATAAATTATAGACTTAAAGGGAAAGAGTCGCCATGTTTAGCAGCTTTTTTTTTTTTTTTTTCCTTAAAAAAAAAAAAATCTCCTCAATTCCACATAGAACAAGCTTCTCGATCCCAACCCTCCTCTTTTGTCCAATTCAATCTTTGGATAGATCTTTTGTTCTAACTCAGCATGAAAAGAAAAACTTTCTTTAAATGCTATAAACTTAAAACTAACTGAAGTCCCTAAACAAATCCTCCTCTGAGCATTCCAAACATATATACATGGGGCTTGTGTGTGTGTGTCTGCGTGCGTGTGTGTGTGTGTGTGTGTGTGTGTGTGTTTTTATTTAACCCTGGTGCATTTTCTGTTTGCTATTATTCTCTGTGAACCAAAGCTCGCTGCAAGAAACTTATAAATACAGAGATAGCTTACAGGCTTTAAAACATAAAAAGCAGAGAATGTTTTGGATTTGAAAATCATAAATTATAATTTAATGCCAATAACAATTTACAACAAATGGTTGTTTACAATAAACTAACACAAAACAAACAAGTCAAGATCCTGTGTTCTTAGTAAGCATAAAAACTTCACACACACACACTCACATGGATAGCACTTGCAATAGAAAAAGCTAAATCTAGAGGTCAGCAATCCCCTGCAATAATAGTATATTTATATATTTATATATATTTATATATTTATAGAAAAGGAGCCATGATTCAGATGTAAAACTCTGCTCAAATTCACAGTCATACGCCCCTCAGCCCCCAGTACAGATGTGTCTGACTGGAACACACTAAAGATCAGGGTTTAATCGACTTTACAGAATGATTTCTCTCCCTCCCTCTCTCTCTTTTTGTGAAACCACAACATGGTGTAGTTACGTGTGGTAAAAAGGGAGAGGGGGAAGCCTCAGACAAGAACAAAATTGCAAGCTTTCACATACAAAGCATCTGCTATAGACCAAGGGGAGGGCGGGTGGGGGGAGAGAGAGAGAGAAAAAAAAAAAAAAAAAAAAAAAAAGAGACACACACACACACACACAAAACAAAATATCAACCCCTTGCAAAACCACATCATCTTGCCTTCCTTCAGATTTGGGGGGGTTTTGCCTGCTCGGGATAGCACTAAATTCACAAATGGTGTGTCTGATCCTAACGCCAGTGGCCCAGGCAGGTCCCCAGCGCATCAGTGGGAGCTGTGCCTGGGCAAGGGCTGCAGGAGAGGGCCCTGTGGCTACACAGGAAAGATGCATGTACGCCTACGCATGTATGTATGCAAGTATACATACAGACATATAGCCCATACGTAAAATATAGAGATGACCTGTGGTCATGCTTTCACAGTCTAAGGTAAAAAAAAAATCCACTTGAGAGTATATACATTAAAAACCGACTCCTCAGTGCTAGAAGCTAAAGCCACTCCATTTGAAGACCTCTCAATGACAACGATAGATGGCAACTACGGAGTATTATAAAAAATCACACATACTTAAAGAAAACTCATTGCAAACAACTGACCTATATTTACAATACTGCTATTACCTTGCTTGAATGATCTTGTGCGCGTATGTCAGACATTTACAAAAGATTTTTCGCCCCATTCTGATCATAAAATAGATACTGATCTCCAGATTTCTAATACTTTTTCACAACAATACCTTTCCTACGCAGGCACTTAAGTGTGACAAAAATAAGGGCCTTTTTTTTCCAGAAAATCCATTTTTAATTAACAGGAGGATTAGATGAATGGGGGTTGATGGTTTACCATTTCAGCATAGTACTTCCTAAAACCAGAGATAAACCACGAACTTAAGTCCTCCACCCCCATCCCGGAATTAAACAGGTAAATACACTACAATACATCTGCTACAAACTTACTGTGACAAGTAAACAAATCAATCGCCTATGGACTTAAATGACTGCAAACTATAGAGAAGTAATGTGGTTTCTGAAAGACATTTATGACAGCCAAACAAGTTTCAGATATCAAATAATATTTTAATTTCTGAATACTTTCAATTTTCCTTGGAATATAACACACAAAGACTCGACCAAACAGTTCAGTTATTATAACTTTTACAGTATACAGAAATGTTGCACTTAAAAAAAAAAACCTTCAGTTTTTTTAAACACAAAACTGTAAACTCTAAGATACTGAATCAATCACGTTATCTATAAGTGCCAACAGTGTTATTTTGTCATGCTGATTTCAATGGTATTTTTTAAAAAGGGAAAATATCAACAATTATTATAATACAAAGGGCTTGCAAATATACAAACAGATAGAGGAGTTTAATAACAATTCATGATGAACTATGTGGAACCCAATTCAAATTACAAAAGTTCACTTTGCTTGTTTGTTTGTTTTTTTAAATCAAAACCGTAGTGTGTCTTGGACACAAATTCCTTCTACCTATTATAAATCCCCACAGTTCATTTTCTGTCCGAAATAGCAAAAAACCTAGATTTGGGGGTAGTTACATGACACGTGTGGTTCATTCGGGTCTATATAATTATAGCTCTCTCAGCTTCAAGCTAGATTTTGGGTCACCACCTTAAGTGCGCTTCCATCATTGTGTTGTTGAGGGGTTTTTTTCTCTTTTCCTTTCTTCCTATGATACTTTCGTGGACTCAGTTTTAATTCTTTCAGAACATATATTTTAAGGATACACAGTTTTTTTTTTTTTTTTAAAGAAGCCAAGGTTATATCAAAAATTATTATAGAACCACAGAATAAACTGGTTTGAAACCAGAAAAATACAAAAAAGAACAGCTATAGGTACATAGACACATAGGACAATTAATAATTTGGAAAAAAAAGACTTACTTTCTTCCATTCTGCTAATTTTCTCCAAATTTCCTTTAAATGCACTTTAAGCGATATTTTTTAAAAAGTTTACCCCAAAAAAAGAAAAAAAGAAGAAAAAAGAAAAAAAGAAAAAGCCCACCATCGTTTCTTTTCTTCTTCTTTCTCTTTTTTCTTTCTTTCTTTTTTCTTTCTCTCTTTTTTATTTTTTACAAAAAATGATAAGTAGCAAGTTTTTTTTTCTGAACGACACGGGAGTTTTTAATGCATTCTGTAAAAGTTCATTTGACAGTCTCTTTTTTTAATTCACAGTCCATTAATTTTTTCCTGTCTTCTCTTAGCAAACTTGTAACATCCTTTTACATCCTTTCTTAGCAGAAGGAAATTTAAGAAACAACCAGAACCCAAATGTCATTTGCTTTCCTTTCACTCTTTCATCTCCCTTCTCAATTTTTAATTTTTAAATTTTTTTTTTTTTCGCTCTCGAATATTTTATTGAATGGACATATAAGGCCAGTTAAAACTGCTGCCAGACAGTAACATATCCCTGATTAGGGTTTCTATGGGGGTTTTACCTACCAAACGGACGAAAAACAATTGCTCTATGACAGAAGAGGAGACAGTGCGAAGGGAGGGGAGACGTAGTAATAGCTTCCCGAATCGTGTTGGCTGGTTGGGATACTGGCTCCTAACATACTCTTCCAAAGCACACTGTGACTTCTCCTGTAAACTTTCAACATGGGCTACATCAGAGAGACCACAGGCATCTAGAAGAAAGTGTATTAAAAAAAAAAAAAAAAAAAAAAAAAAAAAGAAAGAAAAGAAAAAAAGAAAACAATCATCAGATTAAAAAGTTTTTTTTTGTTGTTGTTTGCTTGGGTGTTTTTGTTTTTAATTTTTAATTTGATCTGTTTTTTATTGCTAGAATTAAGTGTAGATCTTGCGCCATCACCTCGCCCCCCAGAGTTTAAGTAGGTTTTACCAAAAGGGACAATCTCTCTCTTTCTCTGTATGTGTGTGTGTTTGTATTTCTCTCTCTTCTGGAGGGTCTCCTTTAGGATTGAGCACAGCTCCCAGAGTCGAGATTTCTAATGGCATGACAGACCTGAGGGGTTGACAAGGAGGTGCTGGCCAAGCGTTATTTCGTATATCTATATTTTTAGGGGGAAAGGCTGGGGGGGCGGGGAAGGCTTGAGTCGAAAGGGGGGAAAGGGAGCCACTATTTCTCTCCCCCTTGGAAAATAATTGGGGGGAGTCTAACCACGTGATGAGAAGGAATACTAATAATAGTGATAGAAATCATCATCAGAATAATAATAATAAAAAACTGGCCCAGCCAAAGATAATGGCGCCCTGGATCCAGCAACAGATTCTCCCCCAAAGAAGACAACGCGTTTTTCTTCAGTCTTTGAAACTGATTTAAGTGGCCCTTTAAAACTGATCTTGTCAGTTTAGCCTATTCAGAGGCAGCCATGCAAACTGTGATCTCTCTGTTCATTTGAGCTGTTTCTTTTCCCCCCTCTTTTCTTTTCTCTTTCTTTCTTCCCCCCCCTCCACTCCCCCCTCTTTTTTTTCCTCTTCTTCTTCTTTTTAAACCTAAAGGCCCTTACAAGAAGAAAACTCCCTGATAGGGTCTGGACATTTTTTTTTCTTTTTTTTCCTGATACGCTAAAATACAATAAGTTCCCTTTAAATCAGAGACGTCTGTGCTGAAAGAGCACAGGTTGTGACCTGACCTCCCTGTGGCTTTCCTAGGCACAGGGCTAACACATGCATATTCTGCGAGTCATTAGAACCCAGATTTTTTTTTTTTTTCCTCTTAAAAGAGGCTGCAGCAAACATTATATGCATCTATGTGCGTCTGCTTTACATCAGGGAGGGTTATTGGGGTGCTGCAGAAGCTTCATGCATCACCCTATTTTTTTTTTTTTTTTTTTTTTTTTTTTGCATGCGGCTATCTTCCCCAGAATCAGATAACAAGAAACGTTTATCTAGTTGGGAGGCAATTTACACGCCAGGCCTCACATTTTGAAAATAGTAATAAATTAAACAGTTACGACAGGATCGGACGATTGTTTTCTCAGAAGGCTAAAAAAAAAAAAAAAAAAAAAGTGATTTGGGAGAAAAGGCAGGATTGGAAATAAACTCCTTGGTGTGGGTGTGAGCTGGCCAGGGGCTGGGGAGGGATGTGAGCGTGTGTGGGATCCTCGCTGAGTGTTTGAGCGAGGGAGAGGAAAATGCATCCTAGAAAACGACAGAAAAATAAAATAAGCACCCCACATACACCCCTTCCCACTCGGGATCTCTTGTCTCTCTGTGGCTAGATGCGTCCTGCTCATTGATCACCTTAGGACTTTAGCACGAGTAATTTGGGGGGGGGGGGGAAGGAGGAAAAAAAAAAAAAAAAAAAAAAAAGAGAAGTTTTTTATGTGTAAAGCAATAATATATAAAAGGAAGTTTAGGTCACGACCCAGAACCTGGACAAAGTCCAGAAAATGACTTCGTTCCCCAGACCCCCTTTAACACAACAAGGAACGGATTGTGAGCCCTTCTTTTCCCACATAAACTACATTTTTTTCCTGTTTCCTGATATCAGGCTTTAAAAAACTCTGATGAGTAATTATTTTACAGGTCCTGCTTCCATTCATATGTTTATCGCGTGGCCACTTTCTCAAGCTTTCAAATGAGTTACAGAATAAATATATCTATTTTTAAACTTAATCCCAAAACTTCTAGGGCTCTAGCACACTGGGTTGCCGATGCAGCCTTAAAGTTAGCAATCTGAGATAACGTATTACACAAATTAGTGAGCAGAATTTTTTTTTTTTCCCCTCAAAAAAAAAAAAATTTAGCCTCCAGAGTTAATATCAGGATTATTACTCACCCAGGTTAAACTCTAGTGCAGGCTAATTAGATTTCACAACACACTCAATTATTGCTTTATAACTCATGCACTATTTCTAGGCAGCAAAAGTTGACACATATTTTTCCCCCCCTCTCTTTGATTATCTAAGAAACACCTCGAGGTCTTTTCCTCGGGAGAGGCATGGTTGTGCCACCCCGGAATTACACTGCGGAGCGGCAGCTTCAGTCTCCTCTTACTTTTTCATACTATCCCTGTCTACTTATGGTAATGATCTTTTCGCACCCGCTACTCGCTTTGGACTATGCAGTTCCTGCTGGGTACAAATGCAAACTTTTCCCCTTAGCTTAAATGACACAGAACTGCTCACTGCCACATTCTGTTTAAATCAGAGACAGCTCTTTGGAAAGTTGATTTATTTTATTTTATGGGATGGCAGGGAACATATTTTAAACTCAGCTTTGCGCATTTAACTTTTTTTTTTTTTTTTTTTTTAATTCAATTTTTAATCCTGCAGGGCTTTTTTCCCTTCCTGGCTGCCCATAAAATGATCCTCTTTTTAAAGTGGTTTCACTGATAGGACGACTTGTATTTAACAACATCAAACAGATTTTGCTGCTGTTCAGATGCGTGTCATTAAATGCAACAACCCAGAGCTATACTGTTAAATAAAATATTATTTTCAATGGGAAAAGCGCAGTCTCTTGTGGCAAATGGGTGTCTGTCTCTGAGCCCCCTCTTCCCCCGTCCCCAGCATTATTCAACTAGGGTTGGGGTGTGTTTTGGTTGTCTTTTTTTTTGGTGGGGGTGTGTGTGTATTTTTTTTTTTTTTTTTTTTTTTTTTTTTTTTAAATTCCGTACTCCCTCTAAGATGGGATGCTCAGATCCGAGGCCCTGAAGGCGAGACCACAGGGCACCATTTCCTAAAAGGAAAGAGACCGCGCCGGTTCTCGAGGGGGCAGGGAGCAGTGATGGGGTGCAGGCAATAACACTTTGCAAGAGCAAACAGTTCTCAGGGGGGGGCCCGGGGAAGGAGAAAAGGAAGAGCAAAGAAATGCTGCCTACCTGAGGTGAAGAGGACTATGGCCTTTAAACAGCTATATTCTGCAGAGTCGACATGCAATGCTTTCAGTTTTTCTACTTGCTCTTGGAAGATTCGTATGTGGTCCATAAAGGCGACCACTCGGTCAGCAGACATTGGTGAAGCGTGGAGGCCAGCGGCTGCCAGGAGCGGAGCTACATGGAGGGGCATGGAGCACTGGGCAGCGTTGAGGACAAATAACTCGCTCCAGGTCAGCCTCAGGAGGGCCACCTGGTCTGTGATCTGGAGGTCTGGGAAGAAGGGGATATTCCTGGCCCACTCCACCGCGCTGAAGAGCATCCTAGCTGCCAGTTCACAAATGTTCTCGATGCCCATGATGTTGTTGGGTTGCATGCACTGACTGCCAAAGCGGGAGGTGGGGTAGGGCTCTGCTCTCAGAAGAAGGGAGATATATCCGGATAGGTAGGAATGGCAGTTGAGAGGGTCCCCGTTTGTCAAGGCGAACTGACCATGAGTTGGCTGTGTGGGTGGCATTCTGCCCCTCTGGACCGCTGCAGTAAATAAAGAAGAAACTACAGCTATTAATATCTGAATTGCGACCATCGGTTCAAATACAGCCTGCTTTGTGTGCTTGTGCGTGCGCGTGTGACACCGTACCAAGTCAGCTTAAGGGGGAACATGCATTTTTCCAGCCAGAGTTCAGCCCGTACCCCGTTTTAAGGCTCTGCAGTTCCCGGGTCAAGTAAAAGCAACAATAAAAGCTGAGCAATGCTGTCCGCTCGGCCAGGACTGCCCGAAGGAGCCCGAGAGCCTCACTTCCCAAAACACACCACAATTCAGTTATTTTCACCCCCCTTCCTCTCCACCGCCACCCCTCCTTCAAGAGATGCAGGATACGTCTTTGTGTGCCCGGGTATTTTTCTTCATTACACCTAAAACAGCTTATTGATTTGAGGCTGGGGGAGCGGGATGAGGAGGGAGGAAGCGGGGGGGGGGGGGGGGAAGAGGGAAGAAACACTTCAGTTCAAAATCCCCGGCGCTGGTCCCACACGCGTTTCTCACCCACTGAATATATTGTTGCTGCTGTTATTGCATATAAACCCCCCCTCCTAAAAAAATATCAAAGGAGGCGAGATCACCCTGCAACATCCCCGGCAGGTCCCCCGGCGAGGCTGGGGGCATTATCCAAAGGCACCTTCCTCAGCTGCCCATGGAAAGTGGGCCTTTCATTTTGTTAATAAATTTACACGGTGACAGCGAGAGAAAAAGGAGAGAGAAAAAGGGCTCAGAGGCAGGGAGACGGCAAGAAGGGAGAACACCTAAAAATGTGCTTGATTTATATTTGTTATCGCATGTATTACAAGGTTAGTTACTCTTGCAGAAACACAAAGAGAGGAGCCCAGCAAGTCCCAAGCCCCCTAACCCTTAACCTACATAGCAGCGTCCAGACACAGAGCACGCACTGGAAAACTGCAGGCTCACATTTCTCGTCTAATTTTATATCACAAAGACTCGACTTGCAGAGACCCGAGCACCCCACACTTACTTCTGGGCTGCTCCTTCCCCCCCCTAACCAACCCCCCCCCCCCTCCGTCCCTTCTACCCCCTCCTGCCTCTCCCAGAGGAACAAGAAAATAAGAAGAGGACGAGAAAAGTGAGAGAATAACAATCAGGAAAGGCAGGCACACGGCAGTATATGAATATATATATATACACGAACACATGCACAAGTATGTGTGTGTATATATATTTTTAAAGGAGGAAAAATCCGGCTGGGAATCCACAGTGGAGTGCTGTAGAGCCTCGGTAGGGTGAGTCCCATTGTAATAGTAATTTGAACCGCCTGTGTAAAATTGCAATCTAAGGCAGGGTGCTGGAGGATATATATATGTGTGTGTGTATGTGTGTGCATCTCGTGAGGCTCTGTGTGTGTCTACACACACGCAGAGAGACCCACAGACACCACCCCCCCCCCCCCCCCAAAGAGCTGCTCGGGGGACGGGGGGTAATGCTGAACATGCAGGAGGAAACACGAAGGAAAAGTAACCACACGTCAGAATAATCATCTCGCTCCTAAGCAGCGTGAAACTAAAAATCCACTTCCAATAAACCTCCATCAGCAAAATCAAAACAAACACAAATCAATTACGAGTGCAGAAGAAAGCATGCAAGAGACCCTGCCTCCCCTTGCCCACCCTCTCCAACACCTCTTTCTTTCATTACGAGAAAGTTTCTTTCTGTTTATTCGGGGGGTGGGAGGGCGAGGGGGGGAGGAAAGGTTCTGGTTGGGTTTGGGGAGGGGGGTTAAAAATAATAAGAATAATCATTAAAAAAAAAAAAAAACAAAAAACAACCAAACCAAACCAAAAAAAAAAAAAAACCAAAAACACAACCAAAAAAAAAAAAAACCAAAAACCACAACAAAACAAAACCCAAAACGCAGCGAGTGAAAAAAATTGCAAAACAAATGAAATCCCAATACCTTCCCGTCTCATGCCAACTTTGAGGCATTTTTTGAGGCGGCAGTACTGACACTGATTGCGGTGGTGCTGGTCAATGGGACAGTTCCTGTTGGCACGACAAGTGTAGCTGAGATTCCTCCTTACACTCCGCTTGAAGAAACTCTTGCAACCCTCGCAGGTAAACTGGCCATAATGTTTGCCACTAGACTTGTCCCCACAAACCACACATTCAATGTGCTGCTGCTGCTGCTGTTTGTCTCCTTGGTTCTGCTGGCTTGGCGGGTTGGTCTGGGCTGGCGTACTGGGAGGGCCCCCGGGCCCCGGGGTCTGGGGGGTGTGCGGGGCCCCGGCCGGCGGTCCCTGCACCGGCGGGGCTTGCGAAGGCTGCGTTCCCTGAGCTCCGGGCACATCGTCCTGGGGGTCTCGCCACGCACCGACTACCATTGCCATATCTATTGGACACCGTTGCCAAACTTCCTGTTCCCCCTTTATTTTCAAAGTTTGTTTGCTTTGCTTTTCAGATCAGCTTTGCAGCAGTCTTTTTTTTTTTTTTTTTTTTTTTCTTTTTTTTTTTTCCTCCCCTCTCTCTCTCTCTCTCTCTTTCCCCCTCTCTCTTTTGTTGTTTTGCCCCCTTTTTTTTTTTTTTTTTTTTAGGAGAGTCGGAGTGGGGGGGATCTCCCGGTACCGGCGAAGGTGCAGAAGCACGGGGCGATGGAGGTGTGTGTGCGGGGGGGCGAGTTGCGAGTCGATTGTCTGGGCTCCAGGAGAGCAAAGTAAAGGGGTGGTGGGGGTGGGGGAGAGAGGGAGAGAGAGAGAGAGAGAGAGGAGAAAAAAAAAAAAAAAATCTCTTCAAAGATCTCCCTCTCTCTCTCTTAGAGCTGATCTGCAGCAGAGTAGTTGAAGGAGGAGAGGCGGGTGTCTGGGGGCCAGGTCCAGGGAAGCTCGCAGTCAGCCATTCAGGAAAGCCATCAAAATAAGAATGAATAAAAGGTTAAAGATTACACACACAGCGGAAAAAAACACGCACAGCTGAGGAGACTTTTCTCGGCGCGGAGAGCGGACGGTCTCGCCGTAGTTTTTGGAAGTCCAGCTTGCAGCAGCAACATCAACTGCGATCGCTTTGTTTTTGTGGGCTTTTTTTTTTTTTTTTTTTTTTTTCCTCCTCTTTCCTCCTCTCTCTCTCTCTGCTCTGTCTCTCCTCCCTCCTTCGCTCGCTTTAATTCTTCCTCTCCGCCGCTCCGCCCGGGCGCTGCTCTCTTTCTCTCTCTCTCTCCCTCTTTTGGGCTCGGGGGTGGGGGGGCTGGCTGTTTGGTTTTTTTCCTCCTCCTCCTCTCCTCGCTTTTTTTATTATTATTGTTATTATTATTAATTATTATTATTATTATTGTTTATTTGTTGTTCCTCCGCTCCGTCCCCGCCGCGCTGCGCTCCGCTCTGCCCCGCTCCGCCGCTTCAAGCCGCTCCCGCCGCGCCGTGTCCCCGCCGCCGCCGCCGCTCCCGCCGCTCCCGCCGCCGCCGCTCGGGTGCTGCCGCCGCCGCTGCCGCCGCCGCCGCCGCCGCCGCCGCCGCCGCCGCCGCGCTGCCTTATGCTGCTTCTGCCGCCTCGCAAGTGGGCTCTCGCCTCCGCGCCGCCGGTGCTCACGGCGCGGGCGGGGGGAGGGGGGCCGCGGGGCGGGGGGGAGGGAAGGAGTCAACTCGCCAGCGCAGCGCCCAGCCAGCCAGGATGATAAAAGAGGGGAGCGGGAGGAGGAGGAGGAGGAGGAGAAGAGGAGGAGGAGAGGAGGAGGAGGAGGAGGAGGAGGGAGAGAGAGAGAGAGGGAAGGATCATAACCCAGCGCGCAGCATCGCTCCTCGGGAAAGGGAGGGGGGGGGGGGGGGAAGAGGGGAAAATCACCACGGGTGGGGGGGGGGGGGGGGAAGCGCCAGCCCTCCCCCCCCCCTAAAAATTAAAAAAAAAAAAAAAAAAAAAAAAAAAAGCGGGTGCTCCCCCCCCCCCCCGGCGGTGAGGGGAGGGGCGGGGCGGGGCGCGGCGGCGTGTGGGCCGAGCGGCGAGCGCGCGCTCCCCCGCCGGCCGCTCGCCCCGCTGGCGGGAGAGTGAACTTTGACACGGCTGCTGCAACTCGGCGCGCGGTTGCCATGGCGACCCGCGCGCCTTATAAGGCAACCCGACCGGCGTTTGACTGGTCAAAAGCGCCCGCCCCGCCCCTCAGCCCTCATTGGGCCGCGGCTGCCCTGCGCGGCCTGCCATGGCCGCCGCCGCCCGCCCGCGCGGTCCTAGAGGCAGGCGCCGCCCCGCTCCGCCGCCACCGGGGCGTCCCCCCCCCTCCTTGCCGGCTCCCCGCTTCCCCCGTCGTGCTGCGCTTCCCCCGTCGGGGCGTAGGGCGAGCCCGGTGAGGGGAGAGCGGAGCGCCGCCGCCTCACCTGGGGCCGCCCGCCGGGTCACGGCCTCGGGAGTCGTGAGGAGGCGGTGGCGGCAGCCGGGGTGAAGGCGGGGGGGGGGGGGGCGGGGGACGACGACGGACGAACGACCCGCGCACACATACACACACGCGCCGGCGGGTGAAAAAATCAGAAAACTGACGCTAAAATGAGGTAAAACGGCACTGAATAAAAGCAAAACGAGCCTCGCCGCCGGCTGGGGGAGGGGAGCGGCCGCCCTGCCCCCCCCCTCCCCTCAGGGGTAGGGCCGCGCAGGTACGCGGGTTCCCGCCGGGCGCTGCCCTCGGGCCCTGCGGCTCCGCGCTGACCGGCGGAAAGGGGGGGTGGGGGGGCGGCACCTGCGCTCTCCCGCGGAGCCGCGGGGTGTCCCGGAGCGCAGGGACCGGCCGCTCGCACCGCCCCGAGCCCCGGCGGGTGACGGGGCGCCGCCGCTCCGTCCTTCCCCCGCCGCCCAGGGCAGCCGGCGGGACGGCCGAGGATACCGCGGTTTCACGCAAGGCACCATCAGCCCCTTCCCACGATGGAGGAGAAAACCCGCCACGCCGCTCCGCACAGTGCGACACTCGTGTCTTTTTCTTCTTTCCGCCCCCCCCCCCCCCCCCAACCTCCGCGGCATCGCTACAACGCACCTCATCCCAACCCTTTTAACTTTATTTTTGGGGGGGTTGTGGGTGTGGGGGTTTTTTTATTTATTTTTTTTTTTTTTTATTTCTCTTCGGATCTCCCCTGACACGGTAACACAACCTCTGCGCTACAGCGGGAGCCCCACTAGATAGGTAACCGATCTAAGTATGCGGGGACAGCTCTTTATTTCCCGCTGAATGTAGCTACCGGGCAGCGGAACGGGGACTTGGAGTTCGTCTCCTAGTGAAAATGGCCAAAAGACACTCGAGCAGGCGAAGGGACGGAGAGATAAAAAAAAGAAAACATGTTTAAAATAGACAGAGAAATGCCCGGCCGGACAATTCCTCCTCTGCAAACACACGCGTGTTGTGTACGCTCACGTTTGAGCTGGTCACCAAGTACGGGTGTGGGGACACGGACCTGTGCGCAACTCTGCAAAGGATTAATTGCCCCTCACCTCCTCACACACACTTTTTTATGTTGCCACATGCACACCCCCTTCTGCCGCAGAAATAATATATGTGGCTAAAGCCACAGGTGCTGAGATGGTTGGAAAGTTGTAAAAAGCACCTTGACAATGTCCTGCTTCGAAACCTGGTGTATTAAGAGCCCACGGACGAAGATGTACTGCGGCTCAATTTCAAAGACAAGGCTGCAGCATTCCATTGATCCTGACGGAGCTAAAATAACCTTTCCCCGAAACAGGGACCAGGAGGGACTGGGAAGACAGAAGGGGAGAAAGCAACCTTTCCCCGTTAAAATGTGGGGAACTGCCTTGCGATTTCCACATAGCCCAGAGGCGAGGAGGTCACCTTTCGGGGAGGGTGGGAGAAGGTGGGGGTTCAAAATGCAGGGCAGTCACAGATTGTTGCTGATGTTGAATTTCCTGAGGGGGGGAAAAAAAAAAAAAGAACAAACAAAAAAAACAAACAAAACCACACAACAACCCACAAAACAACCCAACACCAACCTTTCCTGTCTCGAATCTGACAAAGTAAACAGGATTAATTCGCCATATGAAAAAACATTAACGCCGTCCTAACAAATGCAGAAATCAGAAGAGAAAGCGGTTTTTAACAGGACGTACAATATTAATAGTTTGAACGTATGATCGTAAAAATGAAAAGCCATTGATATACGCTTAAAAGCCGCCGTATACGCTGATTGCTCAAGCATTAATGAAGAATGCCCCAGATTAACTATTTGCTCTTCGAGGGATGCAGCAATATAACTATCTATTAGCACCATTAGACGCTTTGCTATTTATTTGAAAACACCCCTGCGAGTGGGTTGAGGCAGAACAGATGAATGTAAAAATGAACTGCAGCTAATTTCGCTAAATAATACTCGAAACCCGAGCGCCTCGCAAAGAAGGGGGAGATTCTCAACTGTCCTTCTCGCAGCCTAATGACAATGGAAATGCTCTGTTTTAAAAGTAAGACTGGATTGGTTTTCCAAATAAACAAACGCATCCCTCCTGCCATTTTACTGCAGATGTAAATTTATTTTAATGAGAGGGAGTGGAAGGATTTATTTTGCTAAAATAGAGTTGGGGATAGAGCCGGTGTAAATCTTTAGGTTTTAAAAAGAGGAGGAAGGAGGGGGAAGCTGCTTTCCTGGCAGAAAGCTGCCTAACAGTCCTCTAATTCTTTCTAGATTAAATCGCAATATGAATACAGCATCGAACAAATACCGAGTTTCGCTCTGAACTCAGTGGAAAGCAGTTACGTCTAACAGAATTCAATGAATTCCTCTTCTCCCTCAATGTAGTATGTGTGTGTTTTTCTCTTCCACCACACTGAAGTTCCATGAATAGGGAAAGTGGCTCCTATTGTGTGCCTCTGAACTTCCAAGTCAATGCAATTTTTAACCACTGGCTTGTGGTACTTTGAAAATCACCAGGGGCTGTCAGAGTTGGGTCCTCTGAAAAATTTACAGTGCTAAATCAGAGCATATGCTGTGAGAGAGGAAAAAAAAATTGCTTAAGATTGGAGCAAGTACAGTATCTGGCTGCCCCCTAGTGTAAGTCTCTTATCTGCCTAAAATTCAACTTTAAAAGAAAAGGATCTCTTAAAGGGAAACGACTTTTGGCTCACGTATGCATACGAGAATGAAACTTCTGTACATTTTAATCTGATTAATTCCTAAGGATTTAAAATTAATTGGCTTGGGCACTCCTAGACTGGACTATAAGATTTCTGCATCAGGGTTTCTGCGAGCGCTGTACCGAATAGGTATTTTTAAGGGATAGTGGTAAGGGATGGGGGGGGGAATCCTGTTTTGTGATTTTTTTTTTTTTTTTTTAAAACGAGGAACCGTGCCTCGCATGCTGTTGTCAGAGCAATACAGTTTTGCTGCTTAAAGTCAGATCTACGTCTTTTGCAATAATACTTAAAAAAAAAAAAAAAAGGATAAATAATTGCCTTAAAGCCTCAGCCGAACTGCCAACCACACCTTCGGAGGGTGAGTATATTCCAGCTTCTTTCCATTGTACTTGCTTAGCCAGGGAAGGGACCGGAGGGGGAGAGGGGATCTCGGCACTACACCTTCACCACCGACCTCTGTTGTCGGTTTGTTGTTTGGTTTTGTTGTTTTGTTTTTTTTTTTTTTTTTTTTTTTCCTTAAATAAATGCTGCCAGCTGCACACGGCGACACAACCCCGTGCAGTTTAATACCTATCACTTAAGTTAAGAGCCTTGTCCTCCCCTCCCCACCCTCCCGAGCAGCCCGAAGCCCGGGCAGGGGCGGCTGCGACCGGGCTCTGCCTCCTGGGCGCTGCCTTGGAAATGACTTTGAGGCGCTTTGCCTCGCCTCGGACCTGGAAGCCGATTCCGGTCGGTGGGTTTGTTCGCTTGTTTGTTTGTTTGCTGCTTGCTTTATTTAGCTAAAGGACGTGCTAACTGATGGTGCTGCAATTACACATACTTGGGTCTCCCCCCCTCCCCTCTTCCCCTCCTTAGAGCAACCCACGTAACCTTAGAAACGATCGTTTAAGACGTAAGTTAGCTAACATTTGCTTTTTTGGATTTTTTGTTTTCCTTAAAAGAGAAACACAAGAATCACAACACATTGCCCGAAAAAAGTGTCAAAGAAGAAGAAAAAAAACTATAAGTAAACATACCAAAACCATATTTGCCTTGTTCAAGGTCCCAAATCGCTTGCATCTTCCTTTTTCTACCTCTCCTTTAGTTTGGCAGGTGAAACAAACAAACAAAAAAAATAATCAGACCGCTGTTTGCCCCCCAGAAAGATGTGCGTTGGGTAATTAAAGAGAAGTCTCCTTCTTGGTGTTTATCTAAGCGATTGTGCAAACTGATAAAAAAAAAAAAAAAAAAAAAAAAAGGAGGAAAAAAAAGTTACAGCCTTCAGGGGGAAAAAAAAGGAGGCAAGGTGAAGGGAGTAGATTTCCCACAACCTAAAGGGAAGTGCTTTCGATGTATTATTAGCGATCAGCCTTGGGAGAGAGGAAAAAAAAATCCTGAACACACTCTAACTTTACACAGACAAGATTTCAGGGGGGCTTTGTACATAGCTGCTTAGGAATGTGCGCCTCGCCTTTAAGAAAAAATCCCCAAGCCCAAGGTAGGAGATGTCTTTGAGTGATCCTTGTCTCTCATTTCATTCCTTAGAAGGAAGAGCGTCTCGCTACACCTTGTTTGGAGCTGGAAAGGCGAGACTTAAAAAAAAAAAAAAAAAAAAAAAATTCACAACCCACCCTTCCAATTGGGGAGGAAAAAAAAAATGAGAGGGAAATCTCCTAACTTAATGACTGTGGGGGTAGGATGGATGCGACCGATTTCAGCCCCCCACCCCCCACCCCCCCTTCCCCACCTCCCCCCTCCCCGCCAGGGGAAAAAAAAAAAAAAAAAAAAAAAGAAGAAAAAAAAAAGCCAACCGCAAACAACTACAGGCTGAACTATCAACACATGCACCGAAGGGGAAAAAATATATAGTGTCCTGTGTAGGGTCGGCAGGGAACGCAAGCATACGCTAAAGCAAGTTGGGAAAGGATCCGAGCTAATCAGCAATCTCTTTCTCTCTCTCTCCTTCTCTCCCTCTCCCCCTCTCTCTCTCTTTCACTGCCCCTGAGATCCCAGCTCGAAAGAGGTACTCCACATTTTTTCATTACCAAAAATCCGTTGCAATAATCATTTGTTGCTAATTGAAACCCTTGGAGACATTTTTCCCCACCCCCTTCACAAACATGGCAACTTTTAGACATGGGAAGCACGTTTAGTTTTATTTTATTAAAAAAATATATATATACAGTTAGGAGGACGCTGAATCTTTCACCCACGAGAAATATCAGCTCGTCAGCCCCATTCCCCGGGGGGGGGGGGGGGGGGGGGAACGGGACCCCAGTACAGTGAGGGCTTGGGAAAATTTGGAATACATTATACCGCCTTTGGCAGGAGAATACTCTCCAACTAATGGATTCCTGCTCCTTTTTGTGTGTGTGTGTATCAGTGTGGGGGGTTTCTGGAAAGAGGGGTGGTGGTCGTGGTGGTGGGGAGCCGAGCTTTTATTTTAAGAAACTGTTAGGCTAAGAAGTGTGTCATACTTGACAAATGGAACAAACGCTCTTCCATTTCTTGCTTGTCCTTGCCTTAAAACAGGAATTAAGTTAACCACAGTGCTGCATGTTAATTGAATGTTTACTGGGCTAATGAAAATTACAACAGGGTTTTGCCACCTCGATCGGGGATGAAAAAGTATGAAGGCGATTGTCATTGCAGCCTTCGGGGAGGGCCGGGGCGGGGGGAGGCGGTGGCCGGGCACCAACAATATTGATCAGAAGAAGGATAAATCTTTTAACTGCTCGTTAATACCATAAATATGGTCTACACAAGTTTCCACTCTTGTTAAGTCTAATCAGTACATGGAAGATGGAGACATAGCCCACTTGAATGAATTTTTATTATTGCCAGAGGGGCACTTGCATCTGTGGGCTCTCTCCCCTCCTGGATTTCTGCCCCCCACCCTTAACCCCCCCGCTCCAAAATCCCCCCTTGCCGAGGGGGATCATGAAGGTGCGCAGAAAGCACAGGAGACAAATTCAAGCTTTTTGTCCTTTCTCCCCTTTTTCAAATGCTCCTTTTCTCTAAAACTGAACAGGTTGTGGTGGGAAAAGCCTAAAGGGGGGGGATCTCCCTCCCCCCGTTTATTCCTGAGATCTGTGGATGAAAGGACAACCTAGTAATTCAGTTTGATGATAACCATTTTCATGCTTGAAAACAAACTGCCAAATTAAACTTAAATGGAAAGAGCAGTGGGAAAGGTAGTGGGAGCAGGGCACTTGGAGATCCCCCCACCTCTCCAAAAGGGATTGTTTGGCAAAAGGAGGAGGGAAAGGCAATTAAATAGACTAAAGATGATTTAAATCCCGATCAAAAATAATTCCAGGGAGAAGTTTCCCCCCTCCGGTGTTGCCCAGCCCTAGATTTGAAAACTTTGGCCCAACTTGTGGCGATAGCTACAACTTTGCTCCACAGGGGTCAGAGGTGAGGGCTATTTTAACCCTAAAACCCTGCGAGTGACCAAGGTTGAGGCTGGGCTCGCAGCACTAATAGCCATAATTACCTCCTCCCCTTCCAGGGACATTCCTCGCAGCAGCAGTGTTAGGCACCGAATTGAAGAAAATCTTGGAGTTGAACATATCTTGGGGGGGTAAATATCAGCAATATGAAGGAATTTCAGAGCTCTCCCTTTTGCTTGGGGGGATTGAAGCCTTTCTCCCCCCCCCCCTTTTTTTTTTTCTCCCCCCCTTTTTTTTTTTTTTTTTTTTTTTTTTCCCCCTTGCCAGCATTCCCAAGGCGCTGGGTCTTTGTCTTAGAAGGAATGGAGTGTCTGAATGGTGTGAAAGGGACAGAGAGGGTCGCTTCAAATCGATTTTACTTGTCCTCTCTGTCTTTTCGGATCAACGCCCTTCAATGGACACATAGGTGCTCTTTCAACCAAAAACTTGTGCAACATTTTCTGCCTGTATTGGTGCTAAATACAATAAATGCTGGGCAGATTTTTTTTCTTTCTTTCCAAAGCAGAAAGCTCCCTAATTAAATTGTTTTATATGGACAGTCAAGACAGACCAATTAAGTATGCATTAGTATAAAGATATATTCGAGAGATAAGCGCTCTATAGGAGCCCTGTCTAGGCAAGGTGTGTAAAGTGTCCTCTCGAAGAGAGGCTGTGAGCAGGGTTTCATATGGATTTTTCCCCTCCATTGCCTCCTATACTCGAGTAACAGACTGAATAAGTTAGCGAAAAGCCATTAGTGAGAGTGGTTTCTAAACAAAGTTAACAGGTGGATGTAGCTGGTTTGAGATTTGAATACCAGTCGCACATCTGTAATACACAGCCATATATTTATGCAGCACGGATGCATGCAACGTGCATTTACAGAGATAAATGCCTTCACCCTATAGCTTATGTGCAAATGCACACACACGGAGATAAAATAAACAGCTGGGCACTTCTGTAGGCTACAGGACATGATGTGAGTAAGCACCCCCCGTCCCCCCCCCCGTCCCCCCATTACAGATATAACTGTGTATCTATTGTGTATAGGCACCCAGCCCTGCATCAAAGCCAGACACACGCACACAAGGCGTAGCTGTCTCGCCTGGGTGTGCTGCACAGACATCTAACCGGCGATCAGCGGGCACACAGCACACACTCCTGGGGTAATTACAAGTGGAAATATTTCCTATTCGAGGCATAGGCTTTCCCAGGAGTGAAATAACAGATCAGGATAAAACATACACATACACACACGAACTTCTCTTTTCTGTCCATTTTATCTATCACCCTGGGAAAGCTCTCGTGTATGGTTAACCACAGGAACCGGGCTTTAAGCTCTTCTCCATTTTCATTATTATTATTGTTATTATTATTTTTTTTTTTTTTCTTCACTGCAGATTTTCCACGTCGTTCAAAACAACCCCCAAACCTTAAACAGACAGACAAACAAAAAAGCCGCCAGCTCCCAGCCCTGCCTCAGCCTGATCCTGGGGCAGGCAGAGCTGCGGGATGCGAGGAGGAGGAGGAGGAGGAGGAGGAGGTGGTGGAGGAGGAGGAGGAGGGAGGTGGGCTGGAAGTTGCTGGGGCACCCTCCAGCCCTGGGCACTCCGTTACCCACCCGCCGAGGCAGAGCTGTGGGAGCGAGTCTGTGCCCGGAGATGCTGCGGAGCGGGACCGGGGCATCGCCCCTTTATCGTGACATTGCACCGCAGGGACAGGACGGGGCTTTGCTGGAGGGGCAGGGGAAGGGGGGACAGAGGAGTCCAGGGCTGCGAAGCAACCGTGCGACGGCCGACCGGCTTGATATTCATTTTCTAGCAGCGCTCTGGATGTGTTAGCCCATCAAAGGGAGGTGGGAGACAGGGAAGAATAAGCCATTCCTTGCTTAGGTGCTTTAATGTCATGGTAAACAGGTTAGAAACAGACGTTTTTAAAGCCTCGATTTCTCTTCACTGGTTACCTTCGAGGATAAATCATAACAGACTGTATGGGGGGCAAAGAATTCATCTAAAGGAGATCTCAGCAAGTCACTACCCGGACAATAGTCCACCTCCTGTTGGGTTGTGTATTGATCAGGAGAGGAGCTGAAGATGTCGCCACACTAAATATTTACTGATCACACACAAATAGCCAGGACTTGAACGATTTTCTCCTGTGAGGAGAGCAGAGAGAGAAGGGTAAATCATTTTATTAGTGTGTATAAAGCAAAGAGCACACTCTGGCTTGGAGTGTTTTAAGATGTGTCTTCAGCTGGATGAAAAGAGTTAGGGAAATCGATATGGAGTGATTAGACGAGCCAGTCGTGTCAAAGAGAGAGGCTGTGAATTTCATGGATTTGGTTATACCGGGAGGGGGAAATATATCGAGAGATTAAAGGGAGGAACCCATTGTAGCAGAGCCAATGAAAAAATAATATCTAATCAGAGCCGGCAAAGGTAGGGACGGGATAAGACCCACATTTCTAAAAAATCACCATCAGCTGGAGAGGGATCAGGGACACACATGAAAGAGGCAAACGGGGGGATGAGGGGGCGAGTAGGAGCCTGGAAACGCTACAGAGCAAATCCAGGAGAGGCAGAGAAAAGTCGCCTCGGTGGAGCAATGCTGAGACACCACGAAAATGGGGACAAAAGACCCAGAAGCGAGGGGAAGGCGCGGACGGGAGCAAACGGGCGCCTGGCTTGGAGGTGAAGTTGGGGGGTGTCCAGCCCCGTGTGCCCCCCAGGCAGGCAGCTCTCCAGGAGCGAGGGCACATCCAGCTCAGATGCGAGGGGTTTAAATCCTTCTACAAGTTTGTTCTTCCCCCCCCCTCCCGCCCCCCCCTGCCCCCCAAGCAAATGTGGTGAGTAAAATGGATTTTAGCGTTTAACCACCTCATTTTATCCACGTAATGACAAGGCTCGTAATATGTAATCTACAGATTACTGCCAGTCGAGGGTGACCACAAATGACATAAAAAAAAAAAAAAAGAAAAAAATCAACATTTCTGCAGATGATAAAATGGCTAAAACCAGCCCGAGCTTTAAATATTGAGTTGGGGAGTTGCTGCTGGAGGATTTTGTCGGTCACAGGGAGCAATTCAGCCGTGGCTCAGGTACAGCCCTGGGGTATCTCGGCGGATTAAAGAAAACTTTGCTGGAGACAAGCAAACGTCGAAGTGCCAAAGGGCAGAAAGCTGGGAGCAGGGCAGGGCTCTGCCAAGCCACGTTAAAATACGTTCTTTAGGGATGCTCGTTTTTCTTTCTTCCCCGCCCCCCCCCACCCACCCCGCCCGAATCACTGATGTTTGGGCCGTCTTCAAACGCTCCCTTCTCTCTGTGGATTTTTCTTTAGCAGAAAATAGGATGCGGCTGCAGAGAACTGAGTCAAAGGAGCGAGAGAAAGTTTGAGCCGCACTTTAAATGATGCTGATTGCTGGGAGGGAGGAAAGGCATCTAAAGCTAGGAACCGAGGAGTAAAACTGATGTGAAAACAGCTTTTCACTTCTCCTCCAAGTGCTAATTTTGCTACTGTAAACAAACACTGAAGTTAGAAACAGCTGCAAATAGCCTGCCGGGCACCCAGGGCTCAGGGACGAGGCGGGGAAAAATGACTTTTGTTCATCTCTCGGGTTGAATTTCCCCCCCAAACTTGGCTTTCTCCCGAAATCAGTGGCTGGTGCTGGTTTTAGCTGTGGAGAAGGAGGTGTGTGTGCGGGGAAAATATAGGCATATTAAGAGCATTTCATGTGAGCCTATAGAGTGCAGGCAGCTCGGCTGGATCACTAATGCAACAGGAAACCTCGGGACAGACTCAGCCTAATTAACAGTTTTCCAGAGCTGAAGCGATTTTTAAGAATCCCAGTGGATTAGCCCAATATGTTCAGGTGTGAGGCTACGAGGGCCTATAACTCCTTTCACTATAATCTTATAACCTCCTTACCTAATTCCTTAGATTGCAGATAGGAAGAGTCTGACCCTGGAGGTCGTAAAGAGCTTGGTTTCATTAACCCTTCCCTCCCCAGCGCTGCTCCAAGGTTAACGGCGCTGGGCTGAGTGTTTGGCGGGGGGAGGGCAGAAGAAAGGGATTTGCAAGAAGGGACGATCCGATGCGGGGAGGGGGAGAAAGGTTTAAAATGATTTTTGCTCCCTTCGTTCCCCTCTCTTGAGCCAAGGGGAAAATGGAAAGGGAAAGGGAACTTTTCTCTTTCCCATGCACCGGGATGTTCATAAATGTACGGATATTTGTGAGACAATTCATTCCTTTTATACCATTTCACAGTGGTTTTGTATGGTGGTTTTTTTTTTTTTTTTTTTAATAATTTATTTTTTCAAACGTGGAGGAAATGAAACATTCTAGAAACGTCAGATATTGCAAAAAGCAAAGCAATCTCCATCTCTTTAGGACCAACAGCAATTTCTGGAGCTTCTTGTCCATAGTAGAGCTGTAATCTTTAAAGAAAAAAAAAAAAAAAAGAGATCTAGAAAAGCTTCTCAGACTGTATTTGCCTGGTAACACACCTGGTTTATATTTTAATAGGTAGTTACATTGTATTGATTCAGGGTACATCATTGATGTTGAAAGTTAATAACTCTCAAATTATATCTATCTGCCTACATACATAATTGCATACACAGTATAACACTGTAAGAATTTGCATTTTGCAGCACATTCTTTGTTCTTAAATCTTTTAACACATTGAATTGTTCCTTTGAAGAAAATGCTATTGAACCACATGTTTAAGGAAAGGATGCTTCTAAACTATATGTTTAAGCAATGAAATTGTTGAGTGAAATACAGGTTTCTTTGTATTTCACACAAACCTTGCCATACGCCAATCTTAACCTATACATCCGAACTGCCTTTTTTTTTTTTTTTTTTTTTTTTTTTTTTTCCCCTCCCAGTCAGAAGGCAGAAATATGTGAACTGCTGAGAGAGGTGGGTACTTTTTGGTAAGTATGTTTAGATATGATCTTCAGATACATTTATAGTACTTTCAAATTCTTTGGATACTAATTAAGCTAGCAAACACTATCTCAGTTGAATTTCTTCCCTATTTAACAAGCTTTTAATATAGAATTATATTGTAGTTATCCTTCTACTAAACAATGTAGCTGAGGAGTCAGCATAAAAAAAAATGTTAAAACCAAATTATAATTGCTGCCTTATATCTGACTCTTCTTCCTTTCCGCAGTCCTAATGAACTCTTTAAAGTTTTTTTCTTTTTTATTTCTGAGTGACAGATCAAAAATAATTAGCAGAATCAGAAGCAGCCAGAAAGCTTGAAATAATGTATCTAAATATTTCATATTGCTACTTATAATACTAGCCCATCAGTTGTAAAAAGGATTCATTACCTAGTTATTCTGTGGTACTTTATACATATAGAAAGATAGATTTTTTTTTTTTTTTTTTCCCAGGGCCTGTCTCAGAGATGACATAAATAGAGGTTGAACTATGAGGAAAAAAAATGAAAAAATAAAATGAAAATAAACCCCTGGACAGGAATAGAGACAGACAGATAGATATATAACTGCCTCTGAACAGTGTTGTGCACCACATTAGGGGATGGTAAAAAAAAAAAAATAGATTGCATATTTATAACCTCATAATTAAAATACATTCTTACCTCTCTCCTCTGAAAGGCTGTAACTTTCTTGGAAATATTCTGAGTGCATATTTTAAACTCTATGTCCCAAATTGAATTAAGATGAGCTTTTGTTTGCAATTTAATGTTTAAGTTTCAACTGCCTATCAATTGCCATATAATTTTTTTTTTTTTTTTTTACATTTTACTCCCTTACATTTGGAGACTTTATTTAAAATGGTGCTAGGTTTTATCAAATTCTGTTTGTAAGAAATTGGTCAATATTTTAAAAAATAATCCCCTGTGTTTGACTGAAGTAAATTGGATGAGAATTTTTCACATTCAAAGGGTTAAAGCTAAACTGAAAACTTTAAAGCAAAGGATACCAGCAAACAGTGAAAAATGGCACGTTTGTTCTCTCTTGACAAGCTTGCATTATATCATATGTAAGGAAACACAAATTTTTGAATCTAAGACCAGTTTTAGTTTTTAATAGGAAATAATTACATGGAACTTTATTTCCAGAGAGAATGTCCCTTCCAGCTACAGTGTTTTGCTTTGATCTAAGTATTAACTGGTAATAAAATAACCATATTTTGGATCCTAAGCATATTGATGCTTAAAGGAATGTTATGCTTTCAATCAAATTCTAACTTTAGATTATCCAAAGGTATTCATCCCTCTTTTGTCAGAAACCAATTCACTCTTTTAATATTTCAGCTACTCACAAGCGTTTTAGTATACTTTGTTATTTTATAGTAAAATTTGCACTACCGAGGTGGAAAACTTTTAGGTGGAGTGAGATCATGTTCCAGCCTGGCAATTTGGGCTGTTTCTTATACAGCTCCCCAGTCCAGCCCTTCTTTACACTTGTTGTACACCACCATCGCTCATCTCGGAGGGTGACTACCAAGAACGTCTTTGCAGCAGTATTTTGTTTTAAATCTTCAGATTTTTTTTTTTTTTTTTTACCGGTAGAATTAATCATTTGGACCCATCCTGAACAATTAACCTCCCCTTTATATTACAGCCCCAAGTGCAGTACTTCATAAAGACATGAAAAGGACATCCCAGACAGCAGGACCTGAGCCCAGGCTTGTCACAGAGTATAAAAGGAGAGAGAAGGGGAGTTTTTATCTCTCTGCTCTGCCAATTCTTAATAGTTCTAAGTTTCAGTGTGACAATAAAACAGTTTTGATAACATAGCTCATGGGTTTCTCTGCCACATAAAGTTTTCTTAATAATAAAAAAGAAGAAACTTTATCCCTGCTAAATTAAAATAGGGCAGATGTTGGATATGGTTTGTATTAACCAGCCTTTCACCCCTTTGCCCCTGGCACTAAAGTTCTGACTTTTTCTCTCTACTATGTCTGTTTCTAACTGAAAGGTATTATTCCTGCCCTAGCTCTCTTCTTCTATTTATTTTTTCAGTGTCTAAAATTAAACCTATTCATTTAGTAATATACGTTCTATTTCAGATTGCTAAACCTGGCCAGAAAGGGGAAACGTTTTCCAAAAGCGATGCACCACTGACCTTAAAAGAAAACATGAGGCAGGGAAAGCTGTTCTTAAAGGGCTTATTTCTAGAGAATTTTGTAGCTCTGTTGACATTATAGGGATAATGCTTGTATTGCAATGGGCTTTCAAGGCCCAAGAGGTTTATGTTTTCTTCTGACCATAAGTATAATAAAATTTTAAAGGTGCACAAAGTCTCATCACTTTAGATATTTAAAACTAAATTGAAAAAACCCTTGGGAAACATACATTATAGTGGACAGCCCTGCTGAGAGAACGGGGGATAGACAAAAAAAATACCCCAAACCCAAATAAAAAACCCCAGCTTTTCCATGCTAGCTCTATGAAAATCTTGGCTATTAAACTCCTAAGGATAGTACAACTCTTTTCTCCAGGGTTGTGAAGATAGAATTTATTGTCCATTTGGAACGATCAAGTTTAGGCTAATAAAAGGCCCTCTGTAAGCAGAAATGCCCAAGTTGATGTTTGGCAGAGTTTTCAATGGTAGAGTTTATATAGGATGGGGGCTCTGCACTATTTGAAATTACTTATATCTCAGCAGCTGAAGATGATTTGACATACAGAAGTAAACGTTAGTAGGCAACAGCTGAAGGTTAATCAGCACTGCTTTCCAAACTGGACGGTTGAAAGCAGGAAAAAGTGAAAGCTGCTCTCTCTAGCCCTTCCCTTTGCTAAGGTGCTGCTAACTTTTATGATTTTTTTTTTTTCCTCTCTCTTCCTCTTTTACTATCTGTCTTTGTGCCTGAGGGCCAGTGAAAGAACACTGCAGATTCTAGATTGCTTTCAGAGTTTCCCTTTGCTGATGATGGATTACCATGTCAATTTAAACGGCATAGGATTAATTTGTTTCAATGATTTCTCTTTAGGCTGAATGCCAGTCTTTTTTTTCTATCTCTCTCCTTGATAATATAATAATAATAATAATAATAATAATAATAATAATAATAATAATAATAATAATAATAATAAAGAATAAATTTTTCCTTAAAACCCCCAAACTCTTTTGATATCCCACATTAAAAGGACAATAATAGAAATAGACAAGTTAGGTGTAATGTTGCAACACAGTTATAGGTCTGAGTGTTTTTATCTCATTCTAAGGGGCTGAAGCATACAGTCAGTCACATTAAAATGAAATTGGATCCAACGTTTATTCAATAAATACTTGTCTTGTAGGTAATCCAGAGCAGAGTGCTTTTGACACATAAGGACTTAATTTGTCTTGGATAACAAGTTATTAATATGGCACATTTAAACTTGCCACCTACAATAAGGTCATTTAGATCTATAATACGACTCGCAAGAGAACTTCATAAAGCCAGAAACAAAGTTTGAAACTGCCTCCGAGTTGTGGAGCAGACGCACAGCTCATGGTTTGCTCTTTTCAGAAGGAAGTTCAGAGCAAGTAGGAGCCACCCAAAACCCAAATGGTGTGCATCTGCTCTTCTTTGAAAGGCAAACGTAAATGGAGTAAGGAAGAAAAAAAAGAACCCAAACACACATTTTTGAATGAGTAAGCTTTAAAGCTGTGCTGCGTCTGCTAGCAAACTCATCGCAGCTTTGAAAGTGAAAAAACAACATTTGGTTCCGAGTGGAAATTCGCCCGCATTTGCACCCTACCTCTCCCATGTGCTTTGCAATTTACTTGCTTTTAATAATAAGCAAGGAAGTTGGAACATAATCCACCCATAAATGTTATTGCTGTCATTTGACTGTGCTGTGTTTGTTCATGCATTAGATGTATATGTAAAACGAAGTGGGGGTGTATGGTGGTGATCCCTGTACAGCCTGAACAAACAGAGATGTTTTGGTACAGACTGGATTTCAGGCCCCAAATACGCTGCAATTATTTTAAAATTTGGGAAGCTGGAGGTGAGGTGTTTAGTTTCAGACCCGTCCTAAGCGAACAATGCCTGCAAGAGGTGCATCAGGAGGTGAATATCGTGTGTATGCAACACAGGACGTGTTTTGCGGCTGGCAATTCAGTCTCCACACTGTGTACGTGAGCTTTATTATCCTGCTTCTATGTATTAAGCTCTTGGTTGCTCTTGCCCTGGCAGATTCTGTCTCTTTAAGTAACTAAATCTCATTTTTAAGCTCTTCCTGGGAAAAAGATGTTACACATGAGTAGAAAAATGCAGGCAAGAAAGGCTAATTGAATGAAAAGAGAGAATTAGGTTAAAAATAGAGTACAATCTAGTATCACATTTTCACTAGTGTAACCTGAAATGAAGGTGTCTCCAAGTCCCTAGTGATGCCAGAGTGTTTAGATGTTGGGCACAGATGGAGACACCTATTGAAATGTGTCTGAAGAAGATTAATAGGACTTGTCAGTGTTGGGAAAGCACTGCTTTGCTGTAAATTTCTACTAGCACAAGATGAATTACCGATGAATGCTCAGTTATCAACCCCATCACTATCATTGGACACTAAATCAAATTGAGCAGTTATCTACAATCAGAAAATTTCTTTTAAAAATAGGCATACACCTTTAGGCTTAAACTCTTTAATAAGACAATATCCTCTATGGTATGTGTGTGTTCACGAAGGGATATGATTTAAAGTTTCCATACAAAAAGCTTCTGTTTGGAAACGAACTCCAAGTTTAGTGTGAAATCAGGGTTGTCAAACAATAGAATATATTCAGAAAATACCGGTGATACAATACAATATTCTGCTGGGGGCCTGATCCAAAATGGATTTTCATGCATGTCACTAGATTTTGGATCCGTCCCTATTTGTGAGAGGTTTTTTCATCACTCCTTTCCACTTATTTTTGGTGATGGTAATAAAAAAACTTCTCTCTACCTTAAAGACTGAGCATCCAAA